GTGTTTTAATTTACTATAAAGGCCTCTTGTTTCTTCTTTCATTTTAGGGATCTCAAGAAGTAAAGCCCAGACTTCACCTCTGAGCTGGAGGGGAATTCCTTTGTATATTCTCCTATGAAACTTTTCAGTGTTCTTGTATTTTTCCCATCCTTTCAGCATTTTCAGCCACTTAGTAGTTCTTTCAATTTCCAGGTGTTTTTTGTGTAAAAAGCCAAATCTATCCGTGACTTTGTAAACAAGTTAATTAGCATCTTCCCACGGCTCAATCTCTGCACCTTCTCGACCTCTGTCATATTTAGCAACAATTTCAGCTCGCTCCTAGGCAAGTTTGAGTGCTACATCCTGGTCTGAATTCATGACTGGCTATGTCGCTGTATGTTATCCAAATCAGGTGTTAAACCAAAATTTGCTGTCCAAGGTTTCTCAGAGGAATTCATGTCCTCAGGACTGTCCCGTCGGCAGAGGATGTGGGCAGTGGGCAGAGGGGGAGTCCCGGGCCGCAGAGCAAGACCTGGCGCGGCTGCGCTGCACGACGGCGGTGGCTTATTACTGCAGTGCCCTCCGCCCCATTCACCATTTTCTGTTTTCATTTCCTGTTTTCCCAGAAGTAACATTCCATCTGTAGGGGGCCACTTGCTGTTTCCTGATTTGCAGGGAACAAACAGCTCACATTCTAGGATCTGCCACAAGAGAAATCCTAACTTATATATCTGTAATTTCTTCAATTCCTGAACATGGGTTTTCATATAATATTTGGTATAAAGTTTGGCTTCCCGTAAGAGGATAAAGGAGGAAAAAAAACTCATACATTTGGAAGTTGACCAACACCTTGCTTGAACATGAGTGGGTACTAGAAGAAATAAAAAATGAAATAAAAAAGGTTCTTAAAACAAATGACAATGAAAATACCACTTACCAAAACCTCTGGGAAACAGCCAAAGCAGTAATCAGAGGTCAATTTATAGCAATAGATAAACACATCAAAAGGCTGGAAAAAATGACCATTGACTCTCTAACTCAACATCTCCAACAAATTTAAAAAGAACAGCAAGAAAACCGGACACCCTCTAAAAATCTAAAATTATAAAAATTAGGGCAGAAATAAATGTACTAGAAAACAGAAAAACAATTGAAACCATCAACAAAACTAAGAGTTGATTATTTGAAAAGGTCAATGAAATTGACTAGTACAACTAACAAAGAATGAAAAAACACAAATAATCCGAATAAAAGATGAATCTGGAAACATCACAACAGAATCAAGTAAAATAAAAAGACTAACAATGGAATATTATAAAAATATATACTCAAGCAAATACGAAAACATAGAGAAAATGGAAAAATACTTAAAAACTCACAATCAACTTAAATTGACATGAACCAAAATAGATCACCTGAAGAGATTCATATCATAGGAAGAAATTGAAAACGAATTTAAGGAAATAGTATTTGAGCCAGAGCCTATAGTGATGGAGGCAGAAGTTCAAGCTGCTTTGAAGGAAATAGCAAAAAATAAGGCCCCCGGAATAGATGGTATACCAGTTGACATATTTCAGCTAACAGATGCTGCC